TTCCAAATCTTTAAAAATGCTTCCTCACATCACTGGTCTTGTGCACACTCTGTTTTTGTTTTTAAAAATGTGGAACATTATTCTCAGCCTCTCCGTTCTCGTATCAAGAGTCACTGCGAAGGAGAAATTGTGTTCCATAGACCCTTCCTCAGTTCACATAGATTTTTTTTTTTTTTTGGTCCTATAATCTTACATTATTTACCTAAACTAATACAAATAAAAATAGCTAAGATTTCTTGAGTGATTATCAAGCTCAGGTGTCCAGCATGATGCTATTTTACAATCATGAAATATTATATCATTAAAAAATACAACAAAATCTGAGAAGTATGTAATCTTCTTCTTTTTTTTACAGATGAGGAACCTGAGAACCTGGGCGGGCAGCTGAGTGCATGTGCAGTAGTGTGAAGTGGGTGTTTGGTTCTCCCACTGAGCCGTGGACTTGGAGTGAGATGAGGCCCGGTCTGTTATTGATCAGCACTGTTAGAAGACTGCCTGGCCTATAGAATATGTTTAATATCTACTTGTTGATCGAAATAGTGTTGAATATTTGAATGAGTAATGAACGAGGACACATTTTAATATGAGAACGGGGCATCCCTTTCATTCTCCACTCTGGTCACCTATGAGGTTATTTAGAAAATTCTTGACAGTTGCTTACAAATGAGGAAATGGCATCTCCAATGCTTGAAATGTTTTAGAGTACCCTGTACTCTTCACTTTGATGACCAACTGCTCCTTTTCCAAATGAAGCAGCTATTTGGTTTAATTTTGCCCACAGTGAAGGATGATTTTTTTTTTTTTTTTTTTTTTTTTGGGTGCCAGTCCTTCTAGGGCTTCTGAAACAGAGGGAGTCACACACATAGACTCACGCTTACAAACATCTGTACGCAGTGTTAGGTAAGCCCACACAGCTGCTATAATGAATAAACCCTAAATTTCCAAGCTTTGTTGATAGTTATTTCTTATTTGTGTAACAGTCTATTAAGGGTATTCCCACTTGGTCAGACAACCTTCTACCTGGTCATCTAGGAGCCCAGCTCCCTCCATCCCTGGAGGCCCCATACAGCATCAGGGGAGAGTGAGCATGGAGAAGGCACACCTACATCCTAAAAATCCTGGCTCCCAGATGAAGCATGTCACTTCCACTCATATTCTGTTGTGAGAAAGTCATCATGTGGGCATACCTAATTATAAGGAAGAAAAGGAAATGCTGTCTTGTGTCATGTCCAGGAAGAAAAGAGAGAAAACACATTTGAGTGAGTCAACCGGCTGTCTTTGCCCTAGCTCCCATCCCTATAATACAAAGCAGAGACATGCTTTAAGATTAGTACAAAGTGCTCTGGCATATGAGAAGATAGAGCTTAATTTTAATTTTAATTTTAATGTAATTTTAATGGTGAATATCTTAAAGACCAGTGGAGGAGAGGATTTTGAGTTGGTCTTGAAGGAAAAGTAAGTCGTTGATAGAAAAAGATCCTAACAATTATAACTGATAATGTCATAAGCCAGGAGACAATGTGGGTAAGAGAAAAATAAATGCCTGTGTCTTGATCTTTGTGTATATATCTCAGAAATTATTTTAATAACCTCTTTTTTCTGATTTTCCTGAACTCCTTCTATAAGTAATTAAATAACAAACAGAATTACCCCCTTCCACCATGAGTATCTTATCTCTAATGTGAAAATATGAAATAATTATAGGGTGTGCTAAGTAAGAACTTTAATGTCATGGAAAACTTCTACTTTCAAGACTGTGCTAATTATACAGGATGAGGCTAAACAAAGGGATGATGTACAATTATCAGAGCACAACTTATTACAAGCAGCTCTGTTTAGAGGCTCTTCTGAAGCTTGCTATGCAATAAATGAAGGATGATCTAGTATTTATCTTTTATAGGACAGCTCTGGATATCATAGGAATGCAAGGCTGGGCTACTTTGGAGAGTAGTAGCACACACTCTAAGTGGTAGAGAGGAAAGGGAAGGGTCGTTAGATGGGGAAGACCTCCATCCCTTCCTTGTTCTGCCACTCACTGGCTCGGTGATCATAACCTTTCTGGGCTACTTCCTCCTGTATGAGGATCATGTCACATAGGAAAACACTTAGCACCGAGCCTGGACTATATTAGGGACCCTGTTTCTATTTTAGATCCATTTCCTTTCCTTTCTCCTACTTTTCTTTTTCTTAAGCAGGATTTCATTCACCTCAATAAAAAATCCTTAAGACTTTAAGAACTGTACAAGAATGACTGTAATATCAGCTGGATGTACTTCCTCTAAATCTACCAAACTTCAATAAAGGCAGTTATAATATCTGTGGCTCTATCTGAGCAGTGTCAAGGATAAAGAAATACCTTAGTTGTCAAATCCCAGGAGGACTGACTCAGCTCTTCTTTTCTTCCAAAGAAGATAAACTGCATCTCGTGCAATTTGCTTTTTGCTAGGGGGTTTTTGTTTTGTTTTCAAACAAGATCTTCAGTGCAAAAGACAATCTCTCATACATACGCATTAAAGGAGCTCTGGTGAGTCCCACAAAAGTTGGGGCTTTTACCTCGATTCTGTTGCCAGAGTATTAGAAATTGATAGGAAAAGCTGAGAGCTTAAAAATTGCACAATATTACATGTTATTCAATCACAAAATGCTTTGGGCTTCCCAACCTGAGCCTCAGCTCGGTGAATGGCCTATATACTCAACTGCATCTTCGCATTGACTGAAAGGATAGAGGCCCTCAGCTCCTGAGAAGGCATTAGGATTGCATTATCATATCAATAGCCCACATGCAAAAGTTCTTGATAAAAAATGATCATAATCCAGAGGCAAGAGATAAAATATGAGAGTTTGATTTGTGTAAACAAATCAAAAGCATTTAAAGTCAGCTACTTAATCTATCTCCAAGCATTGCCAGGAATATAAATATCAGAACAGCCTCAGAGCCAGCACAGGCAAAGAGTTGAGAGAGTAGGAGGAACCCTAAAGATTATTTGCTACTTTTTCCTGACTTACTCTAATCCAGCCATATTGACCTTCTTTCAGTTCTGTGAACCAGCCAAGCTCAAGGTCTCTTAAAGCCGTTGTAAATAAGTCTTCTGGCCTCTTCAGAAATGCTCTTGTAATAGTCAGGATTGTCTCTGTTAAGCTGCATTAATAAAAAGCTTCCATATCTCAGTGGCTGAAGACAATAAAAATTTGTTGTTTGCTCATGCTATACGCTGTGCATGTCCAGTGTGGGTTGGTTGAGGGGGCTTTGTTCTTTGCGGTCACACCTGTCTGTCCCAGGTGAAGGGAGCAACCACATCTTGGCCACATCCCATGTCAGAATGCCATAGGGACAGGGAGCTGGAGTGACGTAAATTAGATACCCCAGCATGGAAGAGACACATATCATCTCTACACACAATTGATTGGCCAGACCAACTCCCATGGCCTATGGAACCTCAGTGTGAATAAGGCAGCACAATCTCGTCACATGCCTGGAAAGGGGAGGGACTGGGAATAGCCCTTTTGCCTCTCACACCTACCCTGACTACCTTTATGAAGCCAGTTCCAGCTCTTCGCTGTCTAAGCACCCCTTGTATCTTCCATAGTGCTTATCACAATATGTAATTGTATTATTTATTTCCTGCTGTCGTTCTAATCATTTTCTTTCACTGAACTCTAAGATCCCCAGGAGGAAGGAGGACCCCATCAGAAGGCGAACTCCATGAAACAGTTTCCCCAAGTGGTCAATTTGCCTAATATATTTAAATACTGAATATATTTGTCTTGAGTTTGGACAACCCTTATGGTGTTAGGGTCCTGTCTCTTTGTCGATGTCCTTTTTGGTTGTGCGCTGATGCCTCTCAATTACTCCTTATCAGAGGATTCCCCTCCCTGCATAATAGCCCGGGCAAAGGCAAAGACAAAATAGGCCTTCCTTCAAATGCTGTTATGAAGCAAACTGGAAACCTATCAATGAAAACCTGATCGGAATCTCCAAAGGTGATAAAACCCAACATACCCAGTGCAAATTGCTGTGAACCTCGCAAATAATGAAAAGAAGAAAGAAGTTCGGTGAACTGGCATTTTGTTGAAGTTGTTTTAGGCAAATGAATTTGTAGGGAATTAGCTCAAAGCTACCCTTCTACCCCGACTCACAGAGCCTCATCATCCAACAGAACCTGGTGTTTAGAAGGCAACCTGAAATATCTGCTCATTTCATGGGCAAGGCCACTGCAGTTACTGGTCCAGGTCACAGAGGAGATGGTGAAAGAGATAAAAGTATGATTCAAGTCCCCTGGAGCCAGCATGGGCCTCCTTTTCCGAGTCACACTCCAGGAAGGCTGCAATCATTTCTATAAACTTATTAACACTCTATTTAGGGCCAAAAGCTAGCGTACGAAGGAATATTCTGAATATTTGTCTTGAGTTTTTATCCCTTTAAATAAAAATATTTTAACGATTACTTGTTATTTTGGACACTTTTTATAACTATTCCATTATTTTCTATATAAAAAGACTATTATTTCCAAGCGAAATAAGAAATAATTGAAGCACAATTGCCTGTGGGACAAGGTTATTTCAGCAAAGAAGTTTTAAGAATCAATTAGCTATAGCCTTGGAGAATGGATTTTTAAATAGGCATTGTCTCAGGTCACCTAAGGCATATATTTAGTTCCCCAGTGTTTCATTTTAAAAGAGGCCACCACTAAAATCAGTCAAAGGTTTTGTAGGCAGTTGTAAATACGAATTTTTTAAAAAGGCCATCGTTTTTTTGCTTGCATTTTTTTCCCTCCTGGATCATTCAGGAACTAGGGTTATTTCATGGCTCATGGCAAGGGTTACTTACATGTTATAGCATGTAAATAGTAATGAAAGAAACAAACTACAATTTTCTCTTTCCTCATTAGTCCTTAGATATTGATTTCTGCTTTTATAGCATTGCCATTATTTCTCCCCAGTAACGGACTGCGTAACTGAGCAGTGCCTTCTCTTACCCGTTGGGCCAAGCTTGCCGTGGACTCCTTCTTAGCGCAGCTGCTAGGCGCAAGGCATGGTCTCAGTTTGTCTGATTTGCAGCGGCTTGTGCCAGGAGAAGCTGCTGCTTAGCAAACTGCAGGATCCTGTGTAGACAGCCAGAAGGGAGAAAACTTTAGAAGCAATGGAAGTTAATCAGCCTCTGAATTCTGCCCCTTAAGAAACAAAAGACTTGTAATTCAGGCTTTGAGTACAAGACACAAAATGGCATGAGTAAGCACTGAATGCAGGTTAATCAAATGAGAAAAATAATGAACACATGAACAAAGGGAGGTTGGAGCTGGTACCAGGACTGCAAACCCATGTGCATCCAAGACCAGGCAAGGGGCATTGATGAGGATGAGGGGCAGGCTGGGTGTGAGACCACAGGGGAAGTTGGGGGGGCGCTCTGGCGACCTGGTTAATTCCATGTCTCAGCTTAGAGGGGAGCCAGCACTCCCATCCGGCTGAGGGTTTCTGTTGATGCCATAAAGAAAAACAGAACCGATGATGCTACAACTGGAGATTTTCAAAAGAAGACAGAAATGAGGATTTTCATGTAAAAAATCTCTCGTTTTGTACTGTAGAATTAAATTAAGCAAAACTTTGTGCAAGTCAAACAAGGCTGAAGCCAAAGGCTCCTGGAAGGTCAGGGTTAGCTCATGGGTGGTGGTCTTGTACCTAAGATCTAATGCAACATCTTCAATTTCCAAGTAATGAGATGGTGTTCCAGGGGCTGACACAAACGGCTGCTGGCGGGGCAAGGACTCAGCTAGTTAGTGGCAGAGCTGGGGCTTCTGAGCACGAGTACCTTCCCTTTTACCCACAACCTCTCACTTTCACTTGGGGCTACCCTGAGACTGGCTGCACCTGAGCAGATCTGTTGACATGACAGACTAGAGGCCAACTAGCAGCAGGCTTCAGTTGATCTGAGCCTTGGGTCTCAAGTTGCATTTGTGTAAAACTTCATACCAAGAGGCATAATTTTCTGGTCTCACCAATCAAGTTTATGAGTGCTGGGTAAAGCTGGGTGACTAAAATAGGATGGTCCCTCCTAGGAAATAATACTCTTGACTGCAGGTATGTGTTTGGGGTGGTGTTTAAGCTGTGTGGTCAGATGTGAAGAATGGCAGTGCAGGGGTATAGGCAGAGGCATGAGGGGGTCCCCCTGAATCTACCTGCTGGCTCCGGTTTCCCCTAAAAGGCTGCTCTTTCTACGAGAGGCAGTGTTGTCTGTCAGCTAAGTGTAGGGGATGGGTTGAAATACTGACTCAGCTGCTTACTGTGCCTTAAAACGCTCTAGGTCTCATGTATAAAACTGTGATAACACGACCTGAATCACAGAGTTGTACTGAGATGTAAATGAACCAATACAGAGAAAATGCCTAGAATGGTATTTGCACCAGGTAGGCGCTCAGTAAATGTTAGTATTTGTAACATAAACCAACATTTATTGAATGCCTAATGTATACTAACGCCTATATTTATTATCTGTGAGCATCACTACAATCCTCTTTGCTTTATATTATTTTGTTAAGTTTAATCATAAGAAAAACCATGACCCTGACACACGGTGTCTTGTCTAATTTCACCCTGGTGGGTAGCAGAGCCAGTGTTTGAAACGAGGTCTACCTAGCTTAACCATTTGTTTAACCCACCTGTCCAGTGCCTTGTTAGTGATCGACTGAAGATATTCTTCAGATCTTTGAGGGGAGAAAAAGCCAACTTTGGTCAAACACCAAATACTTATCAAGTCAAACACCAAAGAAAAGGAGTCCTAAAGCAAGCAATCAGAAGCACCGCAATGCTTGATAAAATCTTCTGTCTTATGTGAAAATGTACTGTTCTAGAATGGGAGACTGCCACGTGACTGAGAGTAAGACAGGAGAGTATGCAGATAAGTTTTAGGAACCCTCACACTTACCCTTTAAAACGCTATGGCTCTTAATAGATTAATAGTGATAAATCAGGGGCTCCTGGCCGGCTTAGTCAGTAGAGCACATGACTTTTGATCTCGGGGTTGTGAGTTTGAGCCCCACACTGGGGGTAGAGATTACATAAAAATAGATAAAAATAAAAACAAATCTAAAAAAAATAGTGAGAATTCAAATTCCATGGAGGTAGCTTTTAGGAATTGAAACACAACTTGGATATGGACATTGGGAAAATGACATCTGGAAGATTTACTTTAGCATCTTAAAAAAATTCCTCATTTTTACAAAATGATTATTTTCTATGCAGAAAAATAATGGACTAAAACATAAACATTTACTAAAGTATATGAAGCATGAATATGAAGCATCTTATGTAAAACATTATTGAATGAAGAAAAGGATGCAAGGAATAAAGGAAATGAGCATTTACTGAGCGCTAACATGAGCCAGATCCTATGTCAGGTAACTTTGTATACAGTTTAGAATTTACCGAATGAAAAATAACCAAACAGGGCCAAAATAGGCGTAGAAAGTCTGTGTATGGCCAACTCAATTTCTCATGGGTAGATGTTTGCATTTATACATCTCATATCTTACTTGGACCTAACTCCTTATCTTGATGGCCCATTCTGTTTAGTTGTTTTTGACATATACACAAAAGATAAATATAATTAACTTTAGCCAAGCAACAGAAGGGGGGAGTATCCTTTCAACCAAAATGTTAAATTATCATCGGTGCTAGGAGAATACAAACTAGGAAACATATAGATGCAGAATTTCTCTACTTTAGGATGAACATTACCCTAAGAAATAATATCTGCTTTCAGCAATAATATAGAAAGCAGGAATATACTGTACAAGACAAGATGAAGAATATAAAACACTTTCTTCCATTTGATTTCTAAAGTATAATTTTAATATTTAAATTTGAGGCATAGCAACTTTACAGAATTTAAAATGCATCCACATCCAAAAGTTGGTTTTGGAATACAAAACAATATTTCAAAGTCAAACAGAAATGAATTTGTTCATTATATACTCTTTTGGATAATTGTCATTATTGCTATTTCTCCTTGGGCAGATAATTGAAAATTGACTATATAAATTGTTGTGTATTTCTGGGGAAATAGCCTAGACTAAAAATTGGTCACCCACCTCTTAATCTAAGTTATAGTTTTACTAGGCCTAAAAATAATAGCTACTCTAGTGCATTATTCTATTATATCTCATTACTATCTTCCCTTCTTTTTAGCTTCATATAGTTAAAAAGAATTCTGGGGGTGGCTCAGTTGGTAGAACATGCAACTTTCGATTTCTTGTCCTATAGATGAGTTGTGAGTTCAAGCCCCACATTGGGTGTGGGGCCTACTCAAAAAAAGAAAATAAAAAAAAAAATAAAAAAAAAAAAAGAATTCTGCCCATGCCACTTTTGTCCAAGGAATCACATTTGTTTTGTGTACCTCTACATGAGAGTTAGCTATGAAGTATTTTAGTGACAGAATAGGGGAAGGAAGGTAGTAGCAATAATTTGGAGATGAGATTTTGTCCCCCCAGTTTTGCTGCAGCCCACTTTGTGGCAACGGAGGGATTTGCACCGTGAACCTCTAGTGTCAAAATCTGGCCACATTTGATCCTAGTTTGTATGTGGTCTATCTGCAACCAAGGACTTGAATAAAGACTGACAGAACAAAAGAGAAAATGGGGTGCCTGGGCAGTTTCTGCCTTTGGCTTGTGTTGTGATCTCGGGGTCCTGGGATCGGGCCCCACATTGGGCTCCCTGCTTGCTGGAGAATCTTCTTCTCTTTTTCCCTCTGCCTCCTCCTCCCTACTCACGTTCTGTCTCTCTCGAAGAAATGAATAAAATCTTAAAAAAAAAAAAGAACAAAACAGAAAGAGCTGCTGTGTGGGATATTTATTAATTTACCAAGGTAAGTTCTGTGAGTTATTAGGAAACTAGGTGGAGGTAGTAGCTGATCTATTTAGTTAATGAATTGAGGAGACAGAACAGGGTTTTCATCTCTAAGTTTCAATGATCACAGACTTAATTTTCCATTTCTCTTGTTACAGGCTGGATTGCTAGGAAAGAGACCTTGAGACTCTGAGATATCCACACAGGAAGTTTACTGGGGCATGTACTCGGGGAGTGACACCCATGCTACAATGGGAGGGGAAGGGAGAAAGCAAGGGAGAGGTCGAGCTGTGATGTAGTCACAGGGAGGCCCTAGTCCATGCTTGGACTGCTGTAACTTCTGCTGAACTGGGTCTTCCCAATTCTACACAGAGTATTATTCTAATCCCAGGATTTCCAGCCTTGCTGCTTTGTCAGTGGTCTTTATTGTTGCCTTTCTGAAAGGGGCAATAGATAGAGTTCCTTGGAAACAGAAGGAGCCCTACGAGATACGACTCAACGATTTGACCATCAGGGCCTCAGTGACAAGGTGATCAAAGGAACAGGTAATGACGATGCTCCAGCAACATCTGGGATAAAATACTTAGGAAAAAAAGCCAAAGGAAGTTATTTTGTTTAAGTATGTCCATCTCCTTAGGTGTAAACATGGCCATTCATACTAATAAAGTAGAATGATAAAAACAGCAGCATGTCTTTGTTTCATGAAGTCACTAAATATTTCTGGAGGCAGTTCAGGTTGTATACCATAAGATGGGAGAAGATTTTAAGTGTATTAACCCAGCCACACAAAGAATTTCAATTAACATCATTCCAGCTTTTTTTTTTTTTTTTAAGTTAATTCCTAGGAAAGATGAATGAAGCCAATTCCTCCTTACAAATACCAACATCATTAGGAAAGGAGCTAGTGTGAGAGACTTCCACCATTGGCTGGGGTAGAAACTTTCTGGGGGACCATTCTGTACAAAGCTTCATGTCTACTGGAGTTTTTCTTCTGAGTCCTTTACTCCAAAGAAGAAGACAACAGGGAGACCCAAGATTTGACAAACACAGAGAAATTATACGGAAACTCCTCTCAGCTTTGCCCCTTATATCCTACTTGAAATCTTGGCACCGTAGATTTTGCAAAACATCATTTATGCATCTGATTTCAGAAAAAAAAAACAATAGACTTCAACAGAGGAGAACGTGCCATGATTTTAGTGCATGAGGCTAGAATCTCGAAACACAGTAAGAAAAATGTGGATGATTCTAAAATTTAGTGATT